CATTGTTTGACCTCTCCTAGATCGTTTTCACCCTTCATGTGGTTTTTCAAAGAGAGTTTCTTGAGTAAGTCGGTCGACTTACATACAGAGCCAAGCCAGCGCAACCTGTGGAATGTGATCAGTGCATCTGTCGTGGATAAGTTATTTCTTCCGAATACCATTTGACCTACTTCAGCACTGCTGATCCCGTGTTAGGGTAATGCTCCGAAGACATCGATAGTCACACACTGAAAGTCTTTTGGTGTTCTCGGCACGCAGCGGCCAGGTTTCTGACCCGTATGCTAATATGAATCACACCGCAGCATTGTAGCCTATACTCCTGATGGATAAGCTGATGTCACGCCTACGCCACAGGTGATGCAAGTTCACAAAAGCTGCTCTGGCCTTCCCAATCCGAATGAAAACGTCATTTTTTGCTAGACCAACGGGTCTGACGCAGATGCCAGGGTATACAGATTTGTCTGCTACTGAAATTGACTTATCGGAAAGAATGAGGTTAGGGTTCGAGCCCATCCAGTCTTGCAGTAGCAATTGGCAGGTGTGAGGTGCATGTCAGACTGTGATGCAGAAAGAATGAGGCTTCGTGATGGATGCGTTGGGAAGGAACTAGAAACGGGTAATCTGAAGTTCACTCTAAAGGCAAATACACTACTTGGAGCAGGGTGGGTTTCATTGTCAACTTAGGTCCTACGAGCCCATCTTGCAGTAGCAATTGGCAGGTGTGAGGTGCATGTCAGACTGTGATGCAGAAAGAATGAGGCTTCGTGATGGATGCGTTGGGAAGGAACTAGAAACGGGTAATCTGAAGTTCACTCTAAAGGCAAATACACTACTTGGAGCAGGGTGGGTTTCATTGTCAACTTAGGTCCTACTCCCGGATTCATGAACTCACTTTGACCAACCGAGACATGCATCACCACTCGGATACAACTTGATAGTTGAGAGCAGACGGCTTGTCCTCCTGGTTTTGTCCAGTGAAATCGAACAAGAACTTTGTTCTTGATGGACGATATACCTTGATATACACGACCTGGAAGCACCCCGAGATGCCTTGCGGGTGTGGTGCTACGGTTTTGCAGGATCCAGTGAGCCAGCTGTTCCCGAGTTGATGTGTCCCAGATTTCCACAGATCCCGACGCCGATGGATCGTGAATCACCTCCAACAGAGTGATTGTAAGGACTTGGTGAGTTTGGTCAGATTCAATGGGCTAAAGAGAGGAGAAAGTAGCAAATTTCTGCGAGGCAGTCTTGCGTAGAAATCAATGAAAGATTAGCTCACCTGCGTAATCTAGCTCGAAATAGTTCTCCGAGTCTAATGGTGCCTGAAGTTCTTGAGAGGAAGTTACTTCACTGTATTGCTAACAATCGCGTATCAACTATCGTCTTTGTGCAAACGAAGATGTGTAAGTTGAGAGTTGCATCGTCCGTTTCAACAACCTACTGGAAACTTCCAGTATTTTGTGTCAAGACTTTCGTCTCAGCCGTTGTGTACTTAAAACAAGTTAGCTATTTTAGTGGCGGAACTCTCCCAGGAGTTATGACACATCTCCGAGACAAACTGACAAAACTCAGGTCTACCTCGAAGGAACGAAGTCAGGTAGAAGAGGGTGGATCAAAGTTTAGGTGGCTTGACTTTTGCGGTCTATGGATCAATAGCTGCTTGAAAAAAATGAACACTCCTAGTTTGAAGCTGTTCTGAACACGATGAGCAGAGAGACTGATCAGTCCGCAAAATTCGGGCACCAACTAACAAGCAAGCGGATCAGTTGGACAGCAGAGTCAGTATCTCCTCAAGTGCACTTGATTTATCGATCGAGTTTAAAAACGTACGAATCAAACATAAACGATCCACGGTGAAGTGCAAACATACCTGGAAAAATAAACTCATTTGCAAGTAAGACTGATGCAAAATGAGGAGACTCAGTTGGATCTGAGCCGAATCTCTCGTGGTGTATTCGGTCAAGAGAATAGGCTGCGATATCTCGACTGAACTATGGGACAGCCTTTGCATAACCAATTCAGCTGATGAATAACGCGAAAAGGGGACTCAGAAGGGACTCAGCTGAGTCTCCGGTTCCAACCAAATCAATCAATCAATCAATCAATCAATCAACAATCAATCATTCATTCAGTCAATCAATCAATCAATCGACCGATCGATCAACCAGTCCGTCAGTCAATCAGTCAGTCAATGGAGCATTCTATCTATCAATCCATCAACAGATCAGGCAACCAGTTAAACTATGTATCTATCTATCTGTCTATCTGTGTATGTTAATAATAACGGATTCACAGATCAAATTTTAAGCAGGAAATCCAATATAGTTTAATAAAATCCAACAAAGCGGTGAGCATAATCAGGCCCTCAGGCATACGCACGAGCCTATGAACGCTCAACAGGCGTACTTCCGGCAGCCTGATCATCATTCAGTTTTGAACTTTTCGTCAATCGATCGCAGTTCGATGTGACTTGGACTGCATAAAATTTTGTATTCAAGCAGAATAGATGGTTGACAGAAACTCGGAGATTGTGTTCACCTGAGAGGCCCCAAAAAAGAACGCAACCGAGTTCGGGCTGTTGGAGGGTTTCCAGCCCGCTTATGAGTACTATGGGTACTATGAGTACTACATGCCGAGGGGAGGATACCATATAAAGTATTCAAAATAACAATAGGGATGATTTTTTCAAAAAGTCATGGCACATTGTGGCTGAAGATTAATAACTGAATGATTGTGATAGTTTAGGTAGTTAACTGACACATCATTGGAATGCAGTCAAGGTAAGCTCATACACCGGTCTTGGGTGTCTGTTTATTTGCCTGGATGACCACTGCCCCGTGTTCCTGTTGTCTACTACACTCCATGGCTATGATATCCGGACTCACGTGTTTACGCCGAACTTCAAGGTCATTGTTCCCACTACCGCACTCTCTGTTCAGACAAATTTGCTTGGCGTTACTCTGTGTTGAACGATTACTGATCAATAAAGTATCGATCAAGCGTTACTGGGGGTCGTAAACGAACAAACTAACTAAAGTAAGCCACAGATATTACAAATGGCGAAATAAAAATGTATTTTGATGTGAGACGTTACCAGAAATGTACGGCGACTGCCTCATACTTCACTACAGCCATCCAACTGCCTGCTTAAGCCTCACCTTTCCTAAGAGGAGATGATATCGTCGTCAGTAGAGACCAATGACGGCTCACGTGACTCTCCTGAACATGTGACTTAGTTGGTGAGTTTACACGGTGGTTGAATACCAAAGTTTGAGCGGAATGCGCAGGACAGTAAAATACAATGGTTGGTGACCTTTTTGTGTTCAAAATGGTTCCATCAAAAACAAGGGCTTCAAAGGTGATTGTACTTCTGGCTAACGAAATAAGTTCAGGTCAGAAGAGGACTCCAAAGTCTAGCGTTCTTCACCATACCGTAAGGTTCCCAGATAAGGAACTGCCACTTTCACAAGTAGGGAAATACTACCAGCTAACCAAGAACCGGAGAAAAAGTTACCACCACAAAGTGCGCAAAGCGGGGAATGGGTAACTTTCGGGCTTACCAGTTCACAGCTTCCGGCTTCCCTGAAGGTGGCACCTGGAAGTTCAGCAACCACCAGGAACGGGAATACGGGACTGGCGGGTATGGCTCCCGGACGACATGGCCATTGTGCGCGCTGTACTAGTTCGGGAGTCTCTTCAGGCCAGTGATACCTGGATCCGGAGATCAGCCGGATGCGTGTGCCGTCCCCGCCGTTATTCAAGGCCCGTAGACCAATCAGACGAATGTAACCCAACAGAGAGCTGATGACAGCTCCGTGACCCATATTCCTCTCCAACTGATTGCCGCAATAGGGAAAAGTGATAAGTGTATTAGAAATGACTGCAAAAAGGAATACACGCGTCAATAGTTGGCCCAAGAAAGTTTTAAAAATTCGTCCATAGAGCATTCTTATAAAGTGTTGTATCGTGGGTGGCCGTCTATCGGTTACGCCTGCACTGAGCCTGCCAGACTACGCGAAAGGGAGAAGACACAGAACTCCGGACACGGCTGTATTGCCAGGACAAAACATACAGAGCGTCTGCGTAAATATATAGGATGACTAATTGGCCAAATATGGTCGTTCACTTGTTCGCTCCGTACAGCCAATGGTGGTGTTCCGGTCGTGAACACTCTCAGGCCCATTACACTAAGCCGTGTTTGGTGAGAGCCGCCAACTCACCTACTTTCCGGACGTGTCGAACCGATGGTGACCTTGGGGATGCGTCACTCTCTGCATATGTGTGTTTTTTCTGTCTGGGCGCGTCCTGACGTAAAGGGAGACAGGGGCGTTTCCAGACCGACCCCATCTTTGAGGAAATTCTACAACGCTACTTCGTTTGTCGGTGTTCGTTTCAAATTTGGAATGTTTCATCCAAAGCAGCTCTCGGGTTTTGTCTCATTTTGGGAGCAGGGTCGAGATTCCTTAATCGGAAAACGCACTCTGGTTTAGCGAACAGACACTCACTTGCAAACTAATTTGGTTTTTCGAGTGACTCACCTGGAACGCAGGCGAACCTCTCGTTTGTGATGTTTCGTGCAATTTGGTTTCAAGTAGAACATAAGTTTGATGGAAACTCGAGGACTGGGCCTACCTAATGAGCCTGAATTGGTAGGGCGGAACCGATCGTGGGCTGTCGACGGAGTTTCAGCAACCTTATGAGTAGTACATTACAAATATGTACTCTGGTTTACTTCTTCTCGTCTATCATAGATGCTGGTTACTATGGCGTCTGCATAGCGCCTGCCACTAGCGTCTCACCATCATATATATTTTTGTATCTCCACAAATTCCCTGGTCAGAGCTTCATGCGTTGTACTTTTGTGGAAGGGGAGTGATCAGTTTCTTGTACGTTTTAAGACCGAAACGGCTTATATCAGGGAAACAAAGCTATCCAGAAAAGTGGATTTCAACGAGTCAGTTTAGTAAGCCCCTCTAATATCTTTCATGAACAACAGCTAATAACCAGCCTTATTTGCCTATTAGGAGAACCTGCACCGAACGTAACGGGACTACACAACAGCCAATGGAATAACCGTTCTCGTTGAGACAGATTTCATTGGTTGTTCTTCACTCGCCCTTGACAGATGAGTTGTATTCTTAGTATCACTTTTTGACCGCTTGTACCCGACAGTGATCAATAGATCAGCCGGTTCGCGCGTTCATTGACTTTTCTGGTTTAACTAAGCACGCCAGGCTATCAATCGGCGGGGTTCCCGGTAATAAGAAGGCATTAGGGAGACTGTGGTCCATAACATTAAGGCTTACCGAAATATCTTGTAGGATGGCAGGTCCTCGGATGTAACTGAAGTTCAATGCGTCGTAGGCATTGCTTGATAAACGAACGTGTTTCAACATTGGCGGGTACGGACTGGAACTAAGCGCGGCCACATGGTGGGAAGACTGGTTGACACCTGAAACATTATGCAAAATTGGGGTTTGGCAGTTGAAACATTTGACAAAAAATTATATCTAGCTCCTGTTTATTTATTATCTATTTATTTATTCCGTTGATTGCCACTGTCAGAAGTTTTGGGACAAAGTTACGGAAATCTATAAGCCGTTTAATCAGTAATCCGGCGTAAACTGGGGCCCGACGTCATGTTTGTCATCTTCAGCTATCTCACTAAACCTTTTGAAAGAAGTCGTTTGCCCAGTCTGAGACTTTTCGAAACGTTTGGACCCACCTTCAACCTACACTATGTGCCAGGCTTGCTTTTATGGAAGTTATTTGGTAGCGTGGATGCTTCCTGCATGATCTCGAGCAAGCTGTGGGTGGTTACCTTTGACCGGCTCCAGATAGGGCTGCTCTGTTGTATGAAACTTCGTCCTTCCTTATAATAAATGTTAAAGATGAAGTCTCAACTCTCCTATGTTGATTGTATTGTCTTATCTGTGTAGGGTGTTCCCTGCTCAAGTTTCTAGCTAGTGTGGAGGATTCCCATCTCGATAGGTTTGAACTGCCAAGAGCGTTATCGGATGTTTCTTAGATGAATTTTTCATATCAAAAGCGAATATTGCATCTAGAACATTATTTACATAAACTTGTTACAGGTCCCCTAGATGAATTTTTCATATCAAAAGTGAATATTGCATCTAAGACATTATTTACATGAACGTGTTACAGCACCCCTGGTGTGCCCGGATAGCTCAGTCGGTAGAGCATCAGACTTTTAATCTGAGGGTCCAGGGTTCGAGCCCCTGTTCGGGCGTCCGTTTTCCACCGTCCTTCGGTTGGCCTGCTTTTAGTAACGGAAAATAGAGTTGCCTGACTTCGATCATCCGAATGCTGATTAGGTTAATAAATGGACATCTATCAGAATTAGTTGAAATGGGGCCTGACATGAATGAATTCCGCACCAATTCGATCATTTGCCTGAACTACTCAAAAAACCATCAGTAGTTTGGTTTTGCGTCAAAATTTGGAGGCAAGATGGACGCAAAGTGCGGACAACCGCTTATCTGCTCCAGGGGACTTGCAAGATGTTGGATATACGGGTGACATTCTCCATCGAAGTTGCCCTTGTAGTTGACTACTCAAAAGGTAATTCACATAAGGAACTGAGAGGATTCATCCTGTGATTTATAGGTATGAACGCGGTTGGATATTTTTGGATTCTTGACCAGTCCGAGAGTTCATGTGGGTTTTAGTGTCGAGCAACGAAACACTAGGATAGAGACAAAAGTGAGTAGACTTGCCCGCAAACATTATATCCACATATTCCAGGACCGACGTGGAAATATTCAGTCGGGTGTTACCATGGCTTCCACCCAACGCTGTTGGTAGACTGATCTCCGTCAGGGTCGTGTTATGAAATTCAAGTCCATTCCAATAACCATCATACAATTGGGGATTTGCGCCCCAGCACCGGAGACCGACAAGATCTTGCAACTCTAAAGTCAAGAGAATAAGGGGGGAAGAGCAGTCAAGGGAAGAGTGGAGTAAAATGTCTGAGGTTATACTCAGGCTGCCGTTATACCTAGCAATGGATGTAACGTCGTCAGGTCCTTCTAGTTGTAT